TGCTGAGGAATCGAACCCAGGGTCTCATGCATGTGAGGCAAGCACTCTACCACTGAGCCACTTTCTAAGCCCCAACTTTATTTAATTTTAGTTAACCTTAATTTAAATGGCCACATTTGGATAATGAATGCAGTATTATATAACATAATTCTATACTCTTTTAGAGAAATTTTCAGAATTTTCAATTCTAAATTCAATAAGAAGATGATAAAAATCTTCCTTGGTCACAGAAAAACTACAAGCCTAGGATTGAACAGAGCCAGAGGCTGTTAGAGAAGCAAGACAGAAATTTTTGTTGTTGTTGTTGGCCAGTTCTGGTGCTTGAACTCAGGACCTGAATGCTGTCCCTGAGCTTTTGCTCAAGGCTAGCACTCTACCACTTAAACCACAGCACTACTTCCGGCCTTTTCTGTTTATGTGGTGCTGAGGAATCAAAACCAGGGCTTCATGCATGCTAGGCAAGTACTCTACCACTAAGCTACATTCCCAGCCCCAGACAGAAGTATTGTATATCTAAGCCTTGTACAACAAGAAAATTAAAAACTGGAGTAATGCTGAATAAATGATTCAACAGAGAAGATATGATTTCTCTTTATCATTTGGCATATACTCTGTTGCAGACAATGCAACTATGGATATCATCTTATATTTAGATTTGAGGTTATCTTCTTCATTTTATTTAGTTTAAATTAATTTCCAATAGATTTTAAATGGCTTCGTAATGAAAAATACTTTTAAGTATTTATTTTTATTTAGGTTCTAAATTAAGTAACCTTTAATTGGTTCCACTCAAGGTAGATTTAAACACATACTGCAGTCTGAACTGATTTTCTAGAATAATGGGAGGCTGTGAAACTTTTTACCCCAAGAACTGTCATTTAAAATTCTTAGCAGGTCTGTCATTTAAATCAAGCACTATGTAATTTAACGTCATATATATATATATATATATTTGTGTATATATATATATGTGTATCTTCTCTTCTGCTTTTTTCTCTGCTCAGATCTAGTTTTTATCTTTCTCCAGGTCCCTTTTAAACAGCTGCTTCTCATTGAAAATTGCCAAATTCATTTGAAATATTAAAGATTCATTTAAAAAAAGAATGACAGATTATCTAAAGGTTGCAGAGAAGCTAAGAATCAAAAACAATGTCTCTGTGGCGATTTTCTGATGAATAAACACTTACTTTCAGAGGCATCTGTACTCGTTCATCAGCAGAAAGATCACTAGTGGTAGTGCTCACTGGCTTTGGGATTTATAATAGAGAATGAGGTAGGGCAACAGTGCTAGTGAGAAGACAAAAAGCACCTTTCCTTTCTTTTAATCATTTCTCTTTTTTCCCAGCTTTTTTTTTTGTTTGTTTGTTTGTTTTTGGGTCCAGTCCTGAGGCTTGAACTCTGGGCCTGGGCACTGTCCCTCAGCTCTTCAGCTCAAGGCTAGCGCTCTACCACTTGAGCCACAGCACCAGTTCCGGCTTTTTTTGATTATGTGGTGCTGAGGAATCGAACCCATGGCCTCAGGCATGCAAGGCAAGCGTTCTACCACTGAGCTACCTTCCCAGCCCTCTTTCCCCAGTTTTGTTCTCAATTTATAGGCAATATTAAGCTGGTAGAGATAAAATAGATTTTTATCTAGTTTCTCACATTAGATTTCAGAGTATTTACGCACTTCATAGATAGAAAACTGTGAAGTGGTTTGTTTTTGTTTTATTTTTTAAGAACACTAAGTTCCAAATCTATGCTTTCTTATTGTTACCTAATGAACTAAACTTTCGGGGCATTATAAAAATCACTGAATTTTCTCAAGAGAGTGTTCTATTGTTTATTAACAATGCTTTCCTGAGGCAATTCTACTCATGGCTCATATATATTCTGTCATGCTTGGAATGTTTTTGGGAATCCATAAAGGGAAACTTCAAGATACTATACTCTTTACCCAATCTAACACATCACTGTCAACATCTTTGACAGAGCAGTTCTGTTATGTCAGGAGGTAATATGGTATGTGATTGTAATCACTACTTTGCCTATGTGCTTTAATCAATGATGGCAGATTTATGGCAAAAAGAAACAATTCTGAAAGCAGTAAGAACTAATAAAATATTAGAAAACATAGTTTGTTGCTAAGATTGAATGTAAACTAGGAGTATTCAAAGCAAGGAGCTCAAGGAAGAAGTAGCAATATGAAGTAGTCAGGTCTACCGAACCATTTAAACAAATATTATATTGGTACCATAGATCATTTGTTATAAAACATTTTATATTTCTAAGTATCTGTGAAAAGCTATATAACTAAAATAATCTTTTTTTTTTTTTTTTTTGTCAGTCATGGGGCCTAAGCTCTGGGGCCTATACACTGTCCCTCAGCTCTTCAGCTCAAGGCTAGCACTCTACCACTTGAGCCACAGCGCCTCTTCCAGTTCTTTCTGTTTATGTGGGACTGAGGAATCGAACCCAGGGCCTCATGCATGCAAGGCAAGCACTCTACCACTGAGCTACCTTCCCAGCCTAAAATAATCTTTATGGTAATATAGTAAACTGACAAGATACAAATTTATGTTTTATAGAGTTTTATCTATGAAGAATTTATGTTTGAGCTTTCTTCTTCTTTTTTGGTTATAGGGTTTGAATTCTGGGCTTGGGCACTGTCCCTGAGCTCTTCAGCTCAAGGCTAGCGCTCTACCACTTGAGCTAAAGAGCGACTTCCAGTTTTCTGGTGGTTAATTGGAGATAAGAGTCTCACGGACTTTCCTGCGTGGGCTGGCTTTGAATTGCAATTCTCAGATCTTAGCCTCCTGAGTAGCTAGAATTACAGGTGTGAGTCAGTGGCATCTGGCTTTTTTTTTTTTGGGGGGGGGGGGAGGGGGAGGTCCGGTCATGGGGCCTGAACTCTGGGCCTGGGCACTGTCCCTCAGCTCTTCTAGCACTCAAGGCTAGCACTCTACCACTTGAACCACAGTGCCACTTCTGGCTTTTTTTCCCCTGCTTTTGTGGTGCTGAGGAATCGAACCCAGGGCCTCATGCATGCAAGGCAAGTGCTCTACCACTGAGCCACCTTCCCAGCCCTACTTTTTATTTTAATATTCATCCTGTGGCTTGAACTCAGGGTCTAGGCACTGTCCCTGAGCTTCTTTTGGTCAAGGCTACCGCATGAGCCACAGCACTAACTACAGCTTTTTCTGTTTATGTGGTACTGAGGAATTGAACCTAGGGCTTCCTGCATGCTAGGCAAGCACTCTACCACTAAGCTATATTCCCAGCCCGAGTGAGCATTTTGATCAAATGTTTGGTTTGTGAATTTGATTACATTTTGTTCTATATATCAATTCTAGTTTGGAAAGAAAAAGAGGAAAGAAACCAAAATCCTTTTTGTAGATGAATTAATTCTATATGACTAGAATATGGAAAAAAAAAAGCAACTCGCCCAAAATTAAGTAATCGAGTATCCTGAGGCTTTCCTGCTGAAGTAGTTCTTGCATAGGATCTTGAGGGAATACTTATATGCTCACTGTCTTCCTTTATGAAACAAAGCTCTATTTAGGGCTCATCAACTCCTACAACATAGACAATACATGTGTGTTTACTTTGTTGCTCGGTAATGAATCTACCTTTAATATATTTAAGTTACAGTTCCATATCTTTTTTTCTTCTTTTTGTTTTTGACACACCTTTCAAGAGTTCCAAGTAAGCTTACCAGTATTATCTAAGTAATGCTCACAGCTTCTCTAAATGTTAGACAATCTTTAGCATGCAAATAAGGAAGGGTTCTATATCCTAGTTCTAGTCACATTACATTTTTTTTTTTTTTGGGTCGGTCGTAGGGCTTGAACTCTGGGCTTGGTCCCTGCACTCTTCAGCGCAAGGCAAGCGCTCTATCGCTTGAGCCACAGCACCACTTCTGGTTTTCTAGCGGTTTATTGGAGATAAGAGTCTCGCGGACTTTCTGCCCAGGCTGGCTTTGAACCGCAATCCTCAGATCTCAGCCTCCTGAGTAGCTAGGATTACAGGTGTGAGCCACCAGCGCCCGGCACATTACAATTTAAGAAAATTACAAAAAAAAAAAAAAAGAAAAGAAGAGAAAATTACTATCATGTAGTATTTCAAGTTGTTGTACAAGACATTCTACATAGTTCTGGCTCAATTAAATACCATAGTCATAAAAGACTCATAAACTCAGTTAATTCTGTGTCAATTAACCCAGGTTCATATTGGAGTCAGTGTTTTCTAACAATTAATTGAAGGATGGATATTGCACAGATAAAAACATAGTCTTGACTATTATCTTAATTTGGCCAACAACCACTTCATGGAATTTTGAGTCTTGAGAGCATAATTCTTCTGTTAGGAAAACAGAATCAAAGCCTGGAAATTAAAGCTAATAATCAATATTTTGTTTCATAAAATTTATATATATTTTATGTTATCTAAAAGAAAAGAGAGAGCCAGAGGTAGAGATAGAAAAATAAGGATTCTAGTGGTAAGTTCATATAAGCAGGATTTAAATTAATCAGTTCCTAACAACTGTTAAGTACAACCTTTAGGAAGTTAATTTGCATAATGATAATCTACATGTGATAGGGTTGAAATTATTTAAGCGACATTATATCTCACTATTTAGTCTTGCTCCACCACTGCTTTAGCAGTGAATCCTTGTGAAATGTAATGCAGCTAATGAGGTAGCTTTTTAACTGAACAAACTGACAGGCCCCATATCTGCAGAGGCAGCTTGAAACCGTGCCCAACCTCTTGGCTTCCCAAGAGGCTTTTCAAAATTCAATAAATAACATCTGTAGGCGATGTTGGGTGCAGACCTAGCAGAGTGCGTCATAACACTGTGCTGGCAGAACAAAGAAACCATGACGACTGCCAAGTTTCCATGGCAACTGCTGCGAGGCTCTGAGAGTATAATAGCACATCAATCACTGTCCAAAAGAACTTCATTATCAGCTAGAAAAAAAACCTTTAGGATCTGTTTAGTGTGCAATTGTGGGTTAACTCACCTCAAAGCCTTGCTCTCTAGCAAAAGCGTCAGCTTCCTGGAAAAAAAAGAACAGTTAATTATAAAGTGCTAGGTAATGAAGAAATAATCCATTTTGAAACTCATTCAAACAATCTTCTTCTTACACAATTATCTCAATATAACCACATAGTTCAATTTTTATTCTTACACAAAAAAGATTTCCTTTTTCTCTTGGCATAATAAAAAAGAAGGCAGCATAATGTCAACACACTTCACAAGTTACAATAAAGAAGATGTAGTACATGTTTTTACTGTAGCTGCCACAGAGAGTTCAGGTGTACTGACCTCAGCAAAGAAAGACAATCATTTGAAACCTAAAGGAACATACTAGTGGATATATTTCTAATTAAAACAATACCTCTCAGAAAGTTCTTCTGTTGAGGAGAAAGAGGATTCCTAATAGATGTACAGACAAAGAAAAAAATCACCATTTTACAATTACCATGAAGATATTTGTATATTTAAGGATCAGCAACGGTTGGTAAATTTATTGGGTAAAAAGATGGGTCCTTCTTTTAGAGTGTACAGATTATAGACTGGTCACAGGGAGCAAAGTATAACTTTATAATGGAAGGATCAAGCTGTCATCACTTTAGCTCAGCAATCGATCCTATCATCTATCATCAGTAATAGTGGGATCACCACATACCTGTGCCTTCAGTTATGATGCAGTATGAGGTTCACAATATTGCCTATAAAGTATTCTGACCAAAACTGTTTAACACAAATTCATGGAAACTACAGCACAATAACCTATAGTCACCAAGAAAGAGAGGAAAGGGAACAAGTTAAAGGATCTAGTAAGGAAGGAAATGGACAAATATAAGGTTGGATATCTATAGCGTAACTAGTTTAGTCTCTTTAACAAGTCACTGTCAATGATGAAGTGGAGGAGAGGAAAGTGAGTAAGAGCAATGCATGAACCTTGACAGGATTGTATTTTAGAAAATACAAAATGGGGGAGGGAGGGGGAGAGAAAGAAAAATAGAGAACAGAAATTTGGAGGCTAGAAAATATTAGGAATGGGCTGGGAAGGTGGCTCAGTGGTAGAGCGCTTGCCTTGCATGCATGAGGCCCTGGGTTCGATTCCTCAGCACCACATAAGCAAAAAGAAAAAAGCCAGAAGTGGCGCTGTGGCTTAAGTGGTAGAGCGCTAGCCTTGAGCTGAAGAGCTGAGGGACAGTGCTCAGGCCCAGAGTTCAGGCCCCACAACCAGACCCCCCAAAAATAAAAAAAAAGTAAAAAAGAAAATATTAGGAATTACTAGTTTAATAAAAAATGCCCTTCGTTTTTATAGATGTATCCTCAAATAATTAGGGATAAAATGTTATAGAATAAGTAATTCACTTTATGATACTGCATAAAAAATACAAGTGATGTAAAACTGGCAAAATATTAATACGTTTTTATATATATCCCAACCGATTGAAAATTTTCATAATGAATCATCAAAAAAACCCAAAATCCACCCTTGAAATTTCTTTTTTTTTTTTTTTTTGGGGGGGGGGGGGTCCGGTCGTGGGGCCTGAGTGCTGTCCCTCAGCTCTTTAGCTCAAGCAAGGCTAGCACTCTACCACTTGAGCCACAGTGCCACTTCGGCGTTTTTTTTTTCTTTTTTTCTTATGTAGTGCTGAGGAATTGAACCCAGGGCCTCATGCATGCAAGGCAAACACTCTACCACTGAGCCACCTTCCCAGCCCCTGAAATTTCTTTTATATGTAAGATGACAGGGTAATAAAAGCTGAACATTAAAAAAATGGTTAAAACTGAAATACACAAAGTTCTTCTAGATTTTAAATAAATATCTGAAGAACACAGCCGAATTAACAGTATATAACCTAATGCATTGTTGCAGGCAGGCTATCAAATGAAAAAAACACAACTGTGTAACCAAATCTTTTCCTTTGACTCTTTGGTTTGTACATTTTAATTTTGGTATAGATATAAAATGGAGGCAATATTACTTTTCAATTCTACTTCCCTCTTGAAAGTGAAAAAAAATTGCAGACAACTGTCAAGAGCCTCTACATCTTAACTCACATTCTTCCAAAATTATCTTTGCCAAGAGATATTAATAGTAGGATGGGATTTGAGCCGAGTAGTGAGAAGATCCAACTCAACTAAGCGACTGCTGCACCAAACCATGTAAGGCAGAAAGTAGTCAGTGTCTCCAGCACTGATTTGGTTACTACCTACACATTGAAGAAAAACACTAAGAAAAAAATATGTATGTACTTATGATCCCATATTCTAATAATAACAGGTAGACTTAAGAACCACTTTGAGGACTTGAAAAGATCAGAATGCATAATTATAGCTGAATGCTGAAGTAACACAATGTGGTAAGCTGAGAGTGTAACTTTTAAGGCCACTCATTGGAGAAACACTGGCTGACCATGTAGGCAGAAGTTGATGTACACAAAAAGGAAAAAAAAATCCATTATGATCTTGGTGATTGTCTCAAAAAACATGAAACTCTAGAAGATTTAATTACAACAAAACTTTGGTCATTACATAGTTAATAATGTTTACTGATTGGGATATCAAGGCAAAGGATACGGTTCAACAGATGTAAATGTAGTATTTTCCAAGCTGTCACAATTGCCTAAATTAATTCCTATATGAATAAGGCAATTGAAAAACTCTATTAGAACTACTTCTTAAAATGAAACTATTATTGGAGCTATGAAAAAAACATGAAGAGTCAGTAGAACTAAGACATAAAAGTTTAAAAATCCACATACAGTAGATTGAGAAAAAAAAAAAGAGGGTACTGTTTGGAGCACACCTAGGGTTTCACAATTGTGAGGAAAGTACCCTACCATTGAACAAAAAACACATGCATATGTATATACATGTATGTGTGTGTGTGTGTGTGTTAGCCTGTGTGTTAGTACTGAGGTTTGAACTCAGCATTGTGCTTGTTTGACTTCTAGTTCAGCTTTTTGCTAATTATTTGGGATACAAAAGTTTCTGGACTTCTCTGCCTGGGCTGGCTTTGAATGGTGACCTATTGGATCTTTTTTTTTTTTTTGTCGGTCGTGGGGCTTGAACTCTGGGCCTGGGCGCTGTCCCTCAGCTCTTCAGCTCAAGGCGAGCGCTCTACCACTTGAGCTACAGCGCCACTTCCGGTTTTCTGGTGGTTTATTGGAGATAGGAGTCTCACAGTCTCTCCTGCCCGGGCTGGCTTTGAACCGCGATTCTCAGATCTCAGCCTCCTGAGTAGCTAGGATTACAGGCGTGAGCCACCAGCGCCCGGCTTGACCTACTGGATCTTAGACTCCTAATAAGTAGGTAAGATTACAGGAGGGAGCCACTAGCATATGGGCTCACATGCTTGTTTGTTTTAATGCCAGTTTTACTTGTATAAGTAATTATAATATGGCATGGTACAGAAATAATCACAAGATACATATATAGATGCCAAATCATTATTATAAGAGGAAATTGGATCCTAGGATATTTTTGTGTCTATAAACAATTCCTTGAACCAACACAATTGTTGCTGAGGAAGGATATATTTAAGAAAAAGCAACTCAATTTTCTGTCTTGGTGCTCCCTCATACATGTTTGTTGAGCTGTGCCTTATCACTGGGAAAGCTAAGCTCTTGTTCTGTGGCTTAAAATGATCTTATCTTCTAACTTCCTCCCACCTACCTTCCTTTGATCTTGGGCTGGTGCCCCAAGTCACACCATTAGAGAAGGGAGCTGGCTCACATCACTGCAGACTGTTGCTAACCTCTGATCTGAATGTGTTTATAGATACAATGATGGAACATTTATTTTTCCCTTTCAGCAAAACAAACAAAACAATGCAGGGGAACAGTTTGACCCAGTAAGAATTTTAAGCATTATCTTACTTCTCAGATTAACTGTGTGAACAGACAGAAATAAGGGAAGAAAGAATATGAGTATGGTGGGCAGAAGAGCAAGAGAGGCTCCAAATATCAAGGGTAATTCCAAGTAAAATGATCACACTAAATTGAAAAGGACTTTTTAGTGTGCCATGGAAGAAGTGAGAAAAGAAAACAAGCAAGTCCCCATCTGTGCTGCCCCAGGGCGCCTCGTACTGAGTTTCACAAATCTAATGAAGCAGTCAGGTTAAAATCCAACCACAGAGTAGATGTGACATGTGGAGAACAGCTAGAGTAGAATAGAGAAGCAGGGCAGTTCCGAATGCAGGTGATTATCCATGTGATAATCATTATATTTACAGGCTTTCCATTTTAGATCTGACACCAAAAATCACAAAGGAGGAGGAATTAAGGAAACAAACAACCGACACAGAGGCTTTCCTGCTTCCCAAGAGAGTAGAACACTTTCATTCATGCATGACAAGCAACAAAAGCAAAACTAAACAGGCCAGGAAAGAGCATTTCTGAGAAGGCTGCATTTCACATTAACACTTCTTTCCATTTTGATGACTTTCACTATTATTCAATTTCCCAGACAGGACTCATTGCAAGAATCAGGTCCCATTGTTGCTTATGCTATAATACAGTATCATTTTTGGTTTACAATGAATGATACTCACATAATATGTCTTTTTCCAACAACAGAGTCATTTTCTCTTCCTGGAGTTGAGTGTGTGAATAAAATGACATATAATTAAAGTCTTAGACTCTCATCTATACCAGCCACTTAGGATTTGCAGTAGGCTTGCTGCCTCACCATCCAGGCTAAAAGAGTACTGATGAAACAATCAGCAAATATGGGTTTTGAATTGAGGTTAAAAAAAGGTTGAAATCCATGGTTAATGAAAACTCTGGAATCCTTACATTAAGAGCTATTTAAAGGGATTAGTAGTTGCTATTAAAAATCACAATCCTCAGATTATACAGGAAAGGAAATTCAAGGATATGCTTGTAGGCATGAAAGACAACTATTTCCTTTATAATCAATTGAGGAAAAAATTATTTCTTTTATTGTGTTTGATAATATCCAAGTTCTTATTTATAAAGTGGAATTACTACAATCAATATTAAACCAAAGTCACAAATTGTTCATGCTCTAATT